GCACTGAATGTTGCTCTGGCTGAAGAGGGTGTTGTGGAGGAGGAACTGAAGGAGTTGAGAGAGACAAGGAAACAGCTGGTGGACCTCATGATTATTGCGCACACATGCCTCCGGCCCCCTCCCTAGTGTTATTTCTTATGGTGTTTTGGTAATTTTATGATTGAGCAAATAGAATTGTTTTTTTTATCCTCATTGTATCTCCTGTGTCCAACTGTAAATGAGAGTTATACCATGAAGATTTTGACCACTGCATGGTGATTCTGCATGGAAAGTAGATATTGCATCCGCATGGGCAAAAACAGATACAACTCTTATCTTATCATTTGATAAGATAACCAATGCACTGATAAGCAATCTCATTAACTGATGGATGCTAACTGTCTCACTCTACTCTATATCTCTCTTGTCCCTCCACTTTCCTTGCTTAGCATCTTCATCCCCTGAATCACTCAGGTGATTTTTCAATCTGACTCTAGTCAGATCCTGTGTTGACTGAGGTCACAATCTCAAGCTGTATTCCCCTTGCAATGCCAGATCTCTAGGTACAATTTCTTTTGAAGTTTTTCCATTTCATTTGCGCTTATGACTGAATTTCAACCCTAGCATAGTATAACAGGATGTCTGACTATAAAAAATGAAAGCAGCAAATTCAGGACACCCACAGAGGCAGAATTAGCCCAAAATCTGTCAAGAAAACAAAATTTTCTTGACTTCCACTGGAAGGGGAAGCTTCTTTGGGTCCGACCTGCTGGCCCCCACTATTCCCTCAGCAATCACCTGAGGCCTCTTCATACCAACCACTGGATGACCCTGCTACTGAAAAGACTCATGCTATAGATGAAAACACTGGCCTCCCAAAAATAGAAGAGGAATCAGAACCAAGGAAGTCCCAGGTACATACTGACCCTCCTTTGGCTTGCTGTGTCCTTGACTTTTACTTTTAGATGACTCAGACTATGGAAGAGTTTCTTAAACAACTTCCACATCTTATGCATTTACTTCTTTCCTCTGAGGCTCCCTCTAATGTCCTCCAAGTTTGTCCATGTGGATCGCAACTCCCTTGTACCTTCCAGTGCAATGATTGCTTCAGGTACAGCTCATCTTGTCAAAACTGCTTTCTGGAGTGTCATCACAGCCTTCCATTTCACTGGGCCCAAATCTGGCAACCTAACAGTTACTTCCAGAAAGCCAACATCTCGACCCTTCAAGAAAATAAATATGCTATACATCTATGCTCCCACCATTCCTGATGCCCCAGCCCAAGTGACCCTCAGAAGGTCACTATTGTTCACACAAATGAAGTTCATGGCACTCAAATATCATATTGTCTATGCGATGGCAGATCCCAACCTCTCAAGCAGTCAATGGCAGTGCAACTTTTTCCTGCCACACTCAAGAATCCCAGGACATTTATCATGTTCCAAGCACTTAAGGAATTCACTGAACATAATCTTACCTCTAAGAAATTGGCCTACAATTATATTGGAGCACTACAAAAGCTCACCAATGGTTGCTTTACATTAGAGACTCCAGTAGGCTTCTCTAGCAATCTCAATTACTAGTACTCAACTCTGATGTTTTTGCGTTAGGATCCACATTCTCAATTTCTGCTTGTCACTGGTATTTGGCAGAAATTATGCCTAGAAAAATGGAGTGGCCATGCTCACAGTTTACTGTCAGAGTTTCCTCATTGAATGCCAGGGTCCATAGTCCGCACATGTTTTTGCTGTCTGGAGAATGGATTCAACATGGAGAATGGTTGGGAATGAACACCTCCCTCATTAAAGTCAGTTGAATTTTTTTTCATTTGCTATAGTTCACTTTATTTGGCTTGTTGTCAGACACCTTAACCAGGACCAGCAAACCATGGACGGCAACTTCCACATAGGTCAATACATCAAGAACAATGATCCTAATGATATCTCACTGGTGACGGACAGTGGGATAGGCTACTTTCCTGACCAGAAGGTGGTGAAGGAATATCTTGTGAACACACCCAATAATGCAGAGGTCTGTAGCTTTTTCAATGTCAGCTTTCAGTCAGAGCTGATGTGAATTGCAGAAATCAACCTGTAACTATCTCAATGTTGTCAATAACCAGAACAAAAAAAAGTTCAAAAACATGCTATATTCTGGAGTAGTAAATGTCATGTGTTCACACTGTATCATACTTGGGTCAATGAATCTAACAAGGGGTGAGGCATAAGTGTTCATTCTCATACTGCTCATCAGGATGGATGCTGACATGCTCAAAGGTTCAAGAATTCAGATTTTGCACTAATGCATTCCTACTCGCACACACGCTATGGCTGTAGACTTACAAATTCAAACCTAGGTGCCTCTAATTTTTGTCTTTCGTATGACTGTAACTGTCAATATTGCATCAATCTACAAAAACAATTTCACAACCGCTTTCCTGAATACAATCCTCTTGTTAGTAGCATCCACTTTTCAATACCTGCCCTTCATATCTAGGATCACAAAGACCAGTGTAAATATAACTTCAATTCAGCCTACATGCCAAACAGTGGACATTTCCATGGTGAAACTGCTGAGCAACCATGGATAGAGTTAAATTAACTGGCCAGCTCAGTACGCCAGATGAATTCTGGTCATTGTCTTGGAGTTCTCACCTTCCATTTCAGGTACTGGAACTGGACAAAACTCACTCAAATTCATCTTACACTGGCCACCACTTATGAGAAGGCACTAGAGCTGTTTTCTGAGAAATGACAAACCTTCCTTACATCTTGCGTGTGATATCATCACAGAATTCTGGAATGGGATTCAGAAGTGACCAAGAAAAAGTGTCTACTGAATGAAATTATCTCCGATATCTATGAACACTATCTGCCAGGTTTACTTCCTTCCTAGAATTCACATATAACATATCTCACCCATCTTTTCATAGTGCCCTTGTGCAACAAGATTCATCAAACACTTGTGGCTCATAACACATCCAAAATAGAGTCCTCTGATGACTCAAGGTTGTACCTCATACAGCTCGGAATATTCATCGAGCACCACCAGTTCATTGCATAGTCCTCCTTACTAAGACTCAAATCTGATGATCCACAGGCAGTGTATCATGGGCAAGAAAATGCTGAACCAAACTGATACTGTCCACAAGGAAATTGAGCAAGAACATCAGAATCTTTTGCACCATATTGGTCAGTTTTGAGAATTACAGTTGGTGATCATGTCCGGTGTTCAGGACTTGGTATTGGCCATTCTATCCAACAATGAAGCAGAAGATGAAGTGCTGTATCTCCCAAGTAAGTTGTCCCAGGAGCAGCATCAACTGCGGAATGTGGAAGAGCTGGGGCTCCTTGAAATCCAGGTGCAAGTAGGTGAGCTCTATGATTGCATAATTGCAGTTTGAAATGCAGCCAAATACAAGTCTTTGGCATACAAGGACAAGGCAGAAAATATTAGAGGAAGTAATGCTTCCACTCAATCCTCCCTTCAGATTCAAAGGATCAAGGTGGAGCTTCTATCTTGCATAGCCAATTACAAACAAGTTAGAACTGCTCTTGTTCAACTCGGTCACTTCCTCCCCAATGAACTTCCTAGTATGACCATGGAATCAACATACCAATGACCAACTACTGAGGCATGTCATCTGGGAGATTTCTGTCGCACTGACAGATAATTACACAGTCTGGCAATCAATTTCCAGAATTCAGTAACCCCGGGTGATGATGTTGAGAATGAGTTTGAGGGAGTACCACATCATGCAGTCTCCAGCACACTACAAGTGCACCGTCAGCCATGTACGAGACTGTAACACCCTACTCATTGTACATCTGGGCTAACACAATATTCCTTCTCAGGATCTGCTCCCTCTGCTTCATCCAGGAACAAAAAAGCGGTGCCCTCCAAGCATGAAGGTTGGATCTGGAAACTGGAAAAGACGTTTGCCCAACTTGGGGTCCAGCTGGAGGATATGGCTACATTTGAGGATGAGAGTGAGGCTGTTCATTTTCTCAATGATCTGATACAATGGCTGACAACCCTGCAGGCAATCAAATTATGCACTACAGAGCTTTGGTGGAGATGGAGCGATGGAGGGAAGTGATGGAAAAAGCTCAAAGCAATTTCTTGAACTGTCTACACTCATTCCAGTGGAGGAGCAATGCTTGGAACAAAATGGCAGATCGAGATACAGCCCCATTGTCCTCATCTGGCTCATACAAGACTTGGTTATTTGGACATTGCACATTTGCTCACCAACAGGCCACAATGTACAAGCAACTGTACCAATGCTGTTTGAGGGCATACCAGATACTCCCATTCAACAAGGTCCCCCCAGGTGAAATCCTGGCTGATTTGGTAGCATGCTAACAGGCAAAGCAAGCTGATGAAGATAAAGCCATTGTGGAGGCAGAGCTTAGAGCTGTGGATCCACTTTTCAAAATAGATGGATAGATATGAACAGTGTATTTGAGTATAGAAATATTATTTATGTCCTAGGTACATGATAATCGATGGTTGAAAGGTTATCAATATATTGATAGGATGGCAGAAATAAAGTGACATGATGGATACAAGGTACTCCTGCAGAAATGCCAGTGACCAGATTACATGTGAGTAATTGAGTGCGTCAGCACTGGAAAGGAATGGATGGAGATAAACATGTACCATGCTGGAAAAGAACCTCAAACTCTGCTATTGAACCTAGAGCCAGTGAATATGATGTAAAGTCCCAATTGCACTACAACAAATGAGTTGCAGTGGAAGGCAACCTAAGTTGCCTACTTGCGCACGGTAAAGGACAAGACAGGAATAGGAAGGGAAGAAAGAAGCTTTGGTCCAAGGTGATGTGCTAGCCATCTGTGTGGTCATGTGTATGGTCCAGATACAAGCTGTGATACTATAGACCTTGTCCTATGTCTACAATACATATATATATATATATATTTGTGTGTAAAATTTCCGATAAGAAAGAGCGATAACAAAAGTAAAGATGCCAAAAAAAAATTCCAGCAATACTTTCGTAGTGATACAAAGAGGATTTGAACCCCCATTATCCATGAAACAAGGAAATCTCAGAAGACACTGTAACCAACTAGACTATTGCACCATGATAATTTCTCACCTCTTTGGTTGGATGTAGATCTTGAAGTTGATGATGTTGGATGTAGTACAGTTGATACCTTGTCATATGTCCTAATTTTGTAATACTACAACTCTACTGAATGAAATTTACAAATGTCATGGGAGAGATGGCACATGTCTGAGTGTGCTATAGCTACTTTGAACATAAAATTCTGCCAGCATTCATTCCCAACTTGCTTGAACAGCACTGGAGAATGCACTGATGTCATTGTCTATGCCACAGCACAGATGAGAGACTTCTCTCCAGGCCAACAGTCCATCAAGAGCCAGAGGGACTTCATCGCCGAGTACCTCTCAGGCCAATCAAGCGAGGTAAGACCCAGATTCATCTCAGGTGGAGGTACTAGCTGGTCATACACTAGTACAGCTGAGACCAGTGTCCTACGCTTCGAGGTATGGGCAGTGCGAGCAACTTCATAATCTATACAGCTCAGGTTGGGATGAGGCTGAGGTTTGCTGTTGTTGAGGATAGCATCAACATATTGGAGCTTGTATTGGAAATTCACTAGGGAGAGCTCTTTGAGTATCTCATGTATTGTGTGGAGTTCAAGATTTGTGGGAGGGGGAATGACAGAAAGATTGGCCAATCTACAAGTGTCTTCAACTAGAGTCTGTCCTTCTATAACAATTTTCTGGCTGGAAGATATCACTATCCCTTCTTCGAGGGGCTTAATGAGGGTATAAGAACATGCTTTTCACCACACATTGACAGTTTGCAATATCAGTACTCTCTGACTTTGTACCTGTTTGTACCAGGGCGAGTGCAGATGGTCCCACATTTTGAGCATGGGCATCTGCCATGATTTATCCTCAAGGCTGAAGAAAAGAGCAGGCTCTGGAACAAGCAACAATCTCTTATGAGAGGCCGAGTTGTTTTGCTTGATACACAGGTTAATGTTAGCCCAGGCTGGGATGGCAGGAGGCACAAGGGGGTCATCACTAGGAAGATCTGCAAAAATGTTTCATTGGGATTTTGGGGCTAAAGAGAAAATGAGCATGCAAGGCAGGAGGTCCCAAGATTACACTTACAATTGACTGGTAGTCTTTGCAGCTTGTCCTTTGCAGACTTTGCCTTTGGGATGCAAGTAACTTGAGGTCAAGTGAGAGCATTTTGGAGTGAACTAGAGTTTCCATGCAAGGAGCTGTTCATGCTCAAAGAAGACAATGCAGGTGCAATTATATGCCCTGAGCCAAGCTGAAATAAGGATGTATAATTACCCGGCAAATGGAGGTTTGAGAACAGGTCTGAAGAGGCAAAGCAATGGATTGCTGTAATTCAGATAGCGGCAAATTTTATGTCTGAACCTGCCTGTGTGGTTGCTATAGGATTGTACAGTGGATTAGTGGGTGAGGTGTGGACTGCTGGCAGTAATGCTCGCTGGAGTTGCACCACTTCCAGTATCACTTGATGATTGAACACTTGGTAATTGCAGACATAGTAAACTGGGAAGCCATTAGAATAAAGAAACTGAGCATCCGTATCATTATAGATGAATGCACCCATTTTGCTTGAATCTGCTACAACCTGTTGGTGAATGAGGTTGGGAGAGTCATCACAACAAACTTTGCAATGATAATCTAGAACTGCCTGTATTGTGAGGAAGGCCCACTGGAGTTCAACTAGCCCTTGCTGTTGATCGCAAAGCAATGTAGTGACATCCCTTATTTGAGTGAAGCAGATGTCGACAATTTTCCCATTTTCTTTAACAAGAATTTTCCAGTCATCGGGAAGTGATGGATATACTTGATAGACTATTGTTTGCAGCTCAGAGATACATTTGCAAAGCTCATCAATAATTTGACAGTTGACAGTGCCCTCTTGACACTCAGCACTGATGTCACTATAGAGTAAGTTGTTCTCCTGAAGATTGATCCACATGATATTGGTTTCCTTGGAGTGGGAGGATCTTTTCAATACAGCAGTGAAATAGGGATAGCATCAATTGAATGGCTGTGGCCAGAGAATTGGATTGTCTGGGCCATATCAAGCATCTGAGTGGTGGAATAAATTGCGAGTGGAGCCCATGGGCAGCTCAGGAATGAACTTGCAATTTGGAGATATGATAAAATGATGAGAGGCAGGATAAAGAGAGGCAGCAATGCCATTGGAGAATGTAAGTTCATTTCTAACATTATCATTCAAGACATTCTTGAGGGAGACTACACTGGGTAGCTGAGACCGAAGCTCTGGGGGAATGTTGACTAGTATATATGATCAGCTATATTATACCTTTTGCTCTAAAATCCCATACATACATCTGAAGTGAGATGATCCTATATATGAATGTTAGTGATGGCTTATGAAACCATATCAAGCCTACCTTGAGCTGTGTCTGGTCTATTGCGAAGAAGATCTTCCTCAGTGAGTACCAAAGGGCCAGAGTGTGCCTGTAAGCTAACAGGAATTTGTCAGCCAAGTATATGCAAATGCAGAGGGACAAGGAACCTCATAATGAATTTAGTTCGAAGGTCTATGGCCAGCTCTATGACTATAAGTCAAGAGGCTTAAGGGGCCACAAGGAGTGGCTTTCCTGGATATTATAGGGTCATATATATGATTAGAAGAGAAGCAATGAGAAGTGAAGTAGGACTTGAAGTTTCAAAGGGAAGGTCTGACTCTTGCATCATTAGCTAGCAATAATGTGATGTGAAAATGTAGCATGGGCACTTGTGTACATGGTTGCTTGTCATCTCTCACCTTTCATCCCTCACTGTATTGGATACAGAATGGAACTGCCACTACTTTAGAGGTAGTTTGAGCTCCCAACTATTGTTGGTGGGTACGTAGGCTCAGGGATTCTCCAGGTTACTGACCTTCAAGTTTGTTGCGTGGATAGGATATGAACAGGGTAGTGGTCTATGTGGGTAGTCGAGTTGGAACAAAGAATAGGACACACTTGGTAAGCTTACCTGCTGGCGGCAGCTGCTAATAGCTGATGGGTTGCAGTTTATAGTGCTCTGTATAATGGACTTGTCTGTTTGCATAGCATTGGCCATTTGAAATTCACACATTGTATGTACTTGAATTCCTGATAACTTTCCACTCACTTGCTCTGAACTGTCATCTTCTTTACAGCCTCTGCTTGGAAAGCTGTTCCAAATGATTCCCTCTGATCATAACACTCAACTAAAGCTAGACATAACTGGCACAGATGAAGTCCACCTCTGCCTTCAGCACTTGAATTCTGATGAAGAAGAGCTCATAGATTTCCTGCTTGAGGGGTGTCAGAAGTTGCACATATGCCTTGTTGCAGTTCTAGCAGCTATGGAGGGGAAAATCAGGTATGTACCTCTGGCTCAACTTTGGTATTGCATCTTCATTGTGGATGCCTTTAGACTCTACCTGCAGTCCCAGGTGAGAAGCTACAAGCTTGAACTCACACAAGAAAGGAGAAGAGTCATTTGACTCTTAGCTTGGAAATATGCCTCAAGAAAGCTCATTGGATAAAATTGTTTCACTGTGGATGAATTACTTGCAATTTCACAAAGGAGAATCTATGAATGGGTTCAGGATGAGGCGCTAATGCTCGGTTCTTCAGATGAGCAAAAGAACAGAGGCAACAGTCACTGATGGAGCAGGTGCTAATGAATAATTCTGATTACAGCAATGACAATGACAAAGAGGAGGTAAGTTTTGCACATGTTTCCTTCATTCCATGTCTAACACAACTGAATGCAGATAGATTGGCTGTAGATGTGGACCATAACCCTTAGATAGACAAAACCTAGTTTCCCAATCTGTATCTGTTGCTAGCTGCAGCTTTGGTAATTGGCATGGGTTCCACTGTTCCTGTACAGTGTGCTCAGGCAGCAAATAACTCTCAGATTGCGAATGGTCGCAAGTCTCTGTTTTGAGATATGCATTGGGTCCAGCCCAAATTTTATTTTTGCCTAATCGAGTTTCATATTTATATCAGGATTTGCAGTCCATGTGCCCCAACAAAGAGCATTCCTCTGCATCAAATATTTTATACCCCCCAAAACATTTGAAAGATATTTTGTCCATGTTAAGCTCCATTGAGAAACAGCATTGTGCACTGAACCAGCCAACAGGCCCTGAGATAATCACTCATGCAGGCCTCTTATTTTTCTGGTTGCTGTTGTACAGGTAATGAAGTTCAATGCTCAGGCTGAACCCAGTGGCATTTGTGTTCGCAGGCCACAGATGAGTGTTACATTTTGTATATCAGCATTTCAGTACAAGCAGTGAGCACTATGAATTGACTACATTATATGAAAATATACCAAACCATTAAATCACAATGCAATCAAGAAGGGGACAGGCATCATGGAAATTAGTAATAGACTACATGTATAAGTAAAAACAGAATGTCCAAGACGGTGGGAGCACATAATCAATACCAAATTCAAGATTCAAAGATGTTGGGGTGCCACATATAATTGACATTGCAGACATGGTCTTTGGAGTTGCCAAAATTGAGAGACGCTGTTATGAAAGCATGCCACAAGAGTAGCTGAAGCTGGGGAATTGAAATGTTCAGTTTGAGTGATTGGCGAGCATCTGGGACACTTACCAAAATAGTTAATCTGGCATTTGGGAAGATTCCAAACCTCTTCCTGCCTAGAGCAAAGTGTTAGTTCAAAATTTTTAAAATATCAATGTACCACTGCATTACCATACTTATGCCATGCAGCTGAGTAGCTTCAAGCTGCTGGCTTGAGGGATCATCCACTACTATGGTTGGACTGGTAGAGAATAACCATTGACTTAGACCTGAGATGATCTAATTTGCAAATAACTTACCTGTCAGAGAACTCCTCATTGAGCTCGTTGAGCTCTTTGCAAAGAGCAGCCATCTCTTGGCTGAGCCTGGTGGTTCGGTTGTGCAATTTGAATATAAGCTCGGTGCTATTATTTGAGAAGACCAAGAGTTCCTGGCATTTCTTATTGTATGCCTGAGTCATGTCTTGATAGATGCATCCACTCTTGCTAAAAAAGGGGCA